TTACTGATGTCAGATTAAGTCTGTTGTATGTTTTTACATGATAAAAAAAAACAAGCACCACCCATCGAGTGTGGGCCAGTGAGATGTGCTTGGAGAGAAGGGGACCACGATGGAGCACTTGCTCCTGACTTGCTTGAAGCAGGCTGCAGATGCCCCGGGCCATGCTCTCACGTGATCCTCCCACCTCTGCAAGACAGGCAGCCTCCTTTCCATCTCACAAACAAGAATACAGGCCCGGAGAAGTTAATTGACTCACGTATTATCATTCAGCCGGTTCAAAGGGGTCTGTCCCATTCCAAAGCTCCATTTCCTCCTTCTCTCCCGGGACACTGGCTCCCCACACAGCTGCAAGGAGCTTACTCTGTGACTCATCTTCCTGTCCTGTAAAATCCTGCCACCTGGTTTCTGTGTGCACTCACAAGACCCCTCCACCCCCATGCCAACCTGCACGGTGGGACAGCAGGAGGGTGGTAGAGCTTCTCCTTTGGAGGACCAAGTCTCCCCACTTGGGAGGAAGAGCCAGTGAGACCCTGGAGGCCCCAGAGCCATAGGGACAGCCCTACCCAGAAAGCTGGCACAGCCTTGCCAGGGGCACGCGGGGGCCAGGGCCTGGCCAGGAGCAGTGCTGCGCTCCCATGCCCAGCCGGGCTGGCCTCCAGCTGCTTGTGCAATCTCGCTATGAATAGGTCTGGGTGTGTGGTTTGAGGCCAAAGAGACCAGACTTGTTTCCTTAGGGTTGACAGCTCCCCTCTGGAATTCTGGGAGGTGAGGGAGCGCAGCTGTGAGGTCAGGCTGCTGACCCGAGGCTGGGCAGTCCAAGCTGGTGGTGTGAGGGGCGGAGCCTGTGGCCAGACTAGATGGACAGGTTGCCAGCATGACTCTCCAGCTATGGAAATCACCTGAGTGCCCTGCCCACAGCGTCTCCTCCCTCCCCCACCTCCTGCACCTCCTTCCACCCTCCACCGCTCATTCTCTCTAGTCCAGGCAGGGGGAGAAGGAAAAATAGATTTGTGATTTTATTTTTTAAATATCAAAAATATGAGACTATGGGAAGATAGGGATTCTCATACATGGTTGGTGGCATGAATTGGTACACTGGAGGGCAATTTGGTCAACCTCTATGAAAATTACAGATGTGTATATTCTTTGACCCAACAATTCTATATTGGGCATTAATCCTACAAAGATTCTTGCACATGTATGAAACACTATATGCATAAGGTTATTCATTGTAGTGTGGTGGTAAGTACAAACTTTTAGACACAATCCAATATCCAGTGTCTATCAATAGTGGACTACTGGTTAAATCAATTATGATACATTAACACAATGGAATACTATGTAACTATGAAAAAGAATGAGGAAGCTTTCTATGTACTGATATCTCCTCCATGTGTGAGAAAATCACCAAAAAAGCAAGATGTCTAACAGTGTGTACAATGTACTTTTTGCATAATAAAAAGGGGAAAATAGGAATCTGTGTTTTTATTACTTGTAGGTACATAAGAAATTCTGGAAGGATACATAAGAAACTTTGGGGTGGGAAGAACCAGGCAGACAGAAGACAGAGGTGGGAGAGAAACATACTCTGTGTACATCTTTTTATGTTTTCTGGCTTTTGAATAGTGTGAGTGCATGACATTTTAAAATATTAATTTAAAAACAGCGCAACAAAATGAAACTTTTGACCAAAAAATCCATGACCCAATTGTCTTACTACAATGGGCATTTGTCTTTTGGGGGTATGTCCCAGCAATAAGAACACCCTTTTTATTTGGGGGAGTTCCGATTGGGTACATTTTTGTGGGAGGAAGAGCCCCTCCTCCCCTACTCAAGAGAGCCCTGTGCTCCTGGTCCCTACCTCCTGCCAGTGGGGCTCAAGCAGCAGGTGGCTCAGATGCTCTCTGACTTTGGTGGCAGTAGCAAGGGCCTGAGTCCAGCGGTGAGGCCAAAAGTGTCCAGGACACAATGATTATTTCTATTTTCACATTTTAACTTTTAGAACTTCTCCCAGCCATAGTTGGATACTGGTACATGCTACTTGTATTCTGCTTTTTATTTCTCTTATATCAATATATAACAGTAAGAGATCATTACATTTCTAAGTGTGCATCCAAAATGAGTGTTTTCTATGTATAGGAATAGTTTTCATAATTATTGTTTTAATAGATGCATAATATTCCTTTCTTCTGATTAGGTCTTTCCTATACTATGAAATTCAAGATGTTAATGGGAAGTTTAGGAAACCCAAAGTTATGAAGATACAAATTTGCAATGATACTATTCACTTACCAGTCAGATTCCCTAAAGAGTATAGTTGTCTCAGCACCTCCACTTCTATTCCCCAATACCCTTCCCCCGCTGATTTCTTTTTCCCTCTAGTCTTAGACGAGAAGGGGTCAAAGCCAGCCTTTCCACGTCAGTTGGCTCTTTAGAAGCTATATTTATCTTTGTGAATGTAATACACACCCACTTTGGAAAGTTAAAATAGTACACATGAAGAGCTGGAATCCCGGCTCCCTTGCCTCCCTCGCCCAGACATACCCATTACCAAGTTTCTTGTCATTTCCTCCAGATTAGAGCTTTCCGGCCCCTAGGGCAGCCTCCCACAGCTAGCTGCTCTGAGACCTGGAGCAGCTTTCTCTCCCTTCCTGGTGGGCCACATAAACATCATTTTCCATGGCTGCCATGTTGCAAAATAGTTCTGGAATTCCCATGGCTTCCCAGTTCCTCAACGTCCTTCTACAAGATTCTCCCTCCCACAGTGTGACCCAGGGCCCACCCAAAGGCCAGCTCTGCTCAGGCCACTGCCCTGCTGGTTTCCCCTGCCCAGTCAGAAGCCTGAGCTACCTGGTCTGGAATTGTCTGGCAGCCTTTTCTTGCCTGGCTTCTTTGAGCTCTTTAAACCCCAAACAAACCTACTACTCACTGTTTCCAGACCTTCCTGTCTCCTTTGTCTTTGGGGTTCTCCTGCCTCTGCTGGGTGTTGTGAGTGACTTGACGTGTATGTCAAAGTAACATTTGCTGGCTTAAAGCTTTGCCCTACTTAAATATTTGCAAAATCAAGCGGGTCCCAAAGCCTGACCAATTTCTGCCTTTCAGCTCCAATGTTAGCTTCCTCTGTTTCTCCATCCTACCCTTAGCAGCATCCATGGGATCCATTCACTCAAGAGTGCATGCCAGCAGGCCTGCATTTTTCACTTCAGCCCATCTCCCCGGGATAAACACGGTGCCTGGCACGTGGGGGTGCTGGTGGATGAATGAATGTGGGATTCACATGGGAGATCCTGCCAGTACCGGAAGGGCATTGCGACTTCTCCTTCCCGACCGAGTGGGGATGTTTGTAGTGAGTTTCCAGCAAGTCCTCAGAGAAGGCAGGCAAAACCAGCTCTGATCCATTGCTGTGTGACAGACACTAGTCAGACACACACACAGTCTAATTTTCTTCAGGTCTTAAAAATTGCTGTTATTGGTCTTGTGTTTTTAATTTTTGAATGAAGAAAATCCAGGGGAAAGGACTCTTTCCCTCCAGCTGCAAACATGTCTGGCCCTCTGAGCCCACTGCTTCTCTTTGCCAGCGATGAAAGCAGAGCGGGAGCGGGCCCCACACATCTCGAATGCACTCCCCTGCCTGTCCCCACATGTGGCTGCGGCGAGGGGCACCCAGGGCACCTGAGACCGCTCCCCACCACCACCCTGCAGCCACCTCCCCACTTTCCACGTCTCAGGGGAGTGGCTGTGGGTGGTTGTGTGTGTCTGGCACCCAGCGGCTATGAATCCTACCCTCCTCCACCTTTGACCCCGGTATTCCAGCTGTGGTATTGGGTGACTCGGCTGACACATGCCAAAGTAACTTTTTCTGGTGGAAATCTCCGCCCTTACTACTTGAATATTTGCAAAAATCAAATCCCTAAAGTCCTAACTAGTTCAAATTCTTCCTTTTAAACAAAAAGCTGAAGCAGGGAGAGTCAGCAAGAACTGGCCTTGATTCCTCTGCAGAGCAGACAGGCTGCCCGGAGAATATACGCTCAGGGGGGCAGGCGCAGGCCCTCACTCTGCTGGTGCACCGCACGGCGTCTGGCCCGCTGCCACACCAAGACGGACTTAGTATAATTGTTGATCATTAACTTTAACTAGTTGTTTTGCATTTTTACCTGGTTTTGGAGGACTCTCTACTAAGCATCTTGTGATAACTGGTATTGGATTTCCATCTTGAATCTTTTGGGAGACAGAATCAAAATTGGGATATACTCTCAAGTAAAATACCCTTTTCCAGTAAGCTTTGGTATTAGAAGATGGTAAGCTTTTACCTTTATAGGTAATTAAAATAAGGAAAAACTTATGAAAGCATCACTCTTCACCAATACAGAACTTAACCTCAAATAGCCAACTTTAAATTTTCTTCCGTGATCTGAGATACGAGCCCATTGTGTTGCGTGGGACCTTAAACCAGATCCTCCTTCTTCTACAAGCTGAATAATTTTTATAAGTCTATCGGTAAATAAAAATACAACCGAGGCTACCAAGAATAGTTTTACAATAGGGAGGAGTTCCCCCTGACTTCACTGAGGCGGCCCCGAATGTACACACAGAGGAAACATTTATGCTGTTGCCCAGAAGCCTGAAGTAGTGAGTTTGACTTTGATATTTAGGAGGGCACTGTTGACAGCCTCACAGGGTTCAGGCCTCTGGAGCTCCCTGAGGGCCTCCCTACCGTAGGAGCTCCAGGGCAACATGGACTCAACACACACAAGTGGCTAACAGCCACCATGGACGATGCCATAAACCTGTTGTGATTAAACTGTTGTCTGTGGAGGTCAGAAGTGGGCCAGAGGAGATCTCTAGGTTCATTTAGTTTAGAGATCTCATGATAGAGTCCCTCAGCTTTGTGCCTCTCCCAGCCAGGGAAGCAATTCCACAGGGAGACCTTGAGGTAAACGCAGCCATTTTATTCCTAGGGCTAAAGAAAGGGGGCAGGAGAACAGAAAGACTTCCTGAAGTAAGACAGAGTGTCATTGATGCTTTATTTACATGCGTTATTACCATCTCTTTTACAAAGTAGATTACGGTTTTAAATGGAATACACAAGGCAATATCTACAAACACCAAGGAAAGTAAGTACTGCATTTCTATTTCATTTAGAAAGGGGAAGATTCCCAAATCAAACTGGTTTTGATCCTTGAGAAGAAAGGCGGCAGAGTTAATTCGTGGCAACATATGGTTAGACAAAATCCTCAGGTGAGAATGCAATATGATAGTGTTCGCTTGGAAAGAAAGGACGAGGTGCTTCAAACCAAAGTATGAACTGCTTGACTCTCAGGTGTTTAAATATGGCCATGCACCATATTTAATTCTGGTTTATATGGGGTATGAGCAAGGAATTGAAACAGATAAGACAGTTTTACAGATACTGTATACAGATTTTTTTTCAATTCATGCAACTTTTTTTCTTTAAAAAAAGTTAAACATGTAAAGCCAAAATGTACAATACATTTTAAAAAATATTAACTAATTTTTCTGGTCCTCCTTCACATCTGTTTATATTTCCCATGTACATAATGTGCTAGGACAAGTATATAAGAGAAGACTGATTGCCAGGCAATGAGATAATTTGAGAGAAATAAGTGACCAGACACAGTTTTTAAAAACAGCCACACAAGGATTTCTGGAGTGTGGCAGAGGCCTCATCACCAATCATTCATCAAAGAAAAATACATACAAATAAAACTAAACAAAAGGAAAACATTCCATTCAAACTGCATAAAATGTTACCTACTTAGGATTTAGATCAAACATACTATACTCTTTTCAGTTACTTAGGCATCTGCTTTATGATCTTGTTTGACAGGCCTGATTCCCCAAGAACTTCACTTTCCCCAAGTGGCACCCTGCCTCCCCCAGTTTCCAGGAGAGGCTGGCTTTTTCGTACCTCTTCACTAGTGATTGCATTTCTACAAAAAATTTTTAATTTTTTTAAAAAACTCATTATGCCTAATTATACAATGTTTCCCAAATCCAGCAAGAAAAGAAAATTGGTTCAGAGCTGTTAGGGTTTTCTTTTTGCGTTTAGAGAGAAAGGGTAACATTTTTATTTCCCCTTGTCAGCCCTTGGCACCAACATGTGGAACGGAGGACTTGCTTTTTAACTGCTTTATCCTTGATGGTCTTTTCCAAGAGATTCAAAGGCTCTTTATTCTTTGAGTGGGGTTCATTAGGTAGAGGCAAAGTCTGTCCCCACCATCCTTGTGTGCAAGTTTGGAAGCCACCTGAAATCGCACCCTGGGAGGGACATACCTGTCCTGAGTAGTGAGCCATGATGCCCTCTCCTCAGGGTGCGGAAGCAACACACATGATGCTAAAAATCAACACCAAAAACAAACACAAAGTCCGCCTTGCGCTACACATGTGCGCGTGACTCTCCCATTAACAGGAGAGACAAACTTCTGAAAATTAAAAAAAAAAAAAAGTTGTTTCAGCAATCATTATATTGCAGAGGATGCAATAAAGAAAACCAACCTCAGCTTCATTCACAGTAATGGAGTATGCTGAACCTGGCGGTCAGTTCTCACACCAGGACAGTGAAGGCTTGTGCTAAAGCTCTTTTCTAGCTTTGGTAAAAGGTATCAGGTTCTGGAGCCCTGAAGAGAACAACAGAACCCCAGAGTGCATGTCCTGTTTTCAATATTAGCTACTCTTCTAATTTCCCATCAGAAAGTAGGCAGCCCCCTAGAGCAGCTTACTTAGAGGCTGAGGGTAGCCTGGGACAGTTCTTGCCAGGGTTGAAACATTACACCTGCCAGGCCCCCTGAGGCTACTAAGTGTTCTGCCAAGATGGTCCGGATCAGAAAACATATTGTTAGGGACCTGTGACACTCGGAATGTGATGTGGTGGCCAACAGGTGACCCATCCTGAAAGCAAGTATCAGTATAAGGGACAGGGGGCTCAGGTAGCACCTCTGCCCAGTCTGACCACCTTATACCCTGGCTAGTCCAAGGGAGCCTAGCCTCTCCACGGGTGGCCAGCTGAGGGTGGGATGTCATGACCCTGGGTAGGCCCAGCCATTAGAGTCTTGCCTGAACCCTCTCCTGGGGTTGGCAGGTCTCATGGCGCCAATGCTGCATTTGACTTTGTCCTGGTCTCAGTTCTCTACAACACTCTAAATGTAGAGTTGTTTGAGTTATTTAAAAAAGAAAACAATGTCAACCAGAATATCAAAGCATTCCCCCTCCATTTTCCTGACCTGTCCTGTGGCTGCCCTGCCCTCATACTGCCTCTGTCCCTTCCTCAGCTATTTCAGATTAAATAATTTGGTTCTAGGACATTTTGTAAGACATTCTGCCTGAAATCCAACAAACACTGGAAAAAAAAGAGAATAAACGAGATGCCACATGTCTGAAAGGAATTCAACATTTTAAAGCTGAAACACATTGGAGGGTTGCCTTCCTCACTCCCAAAGTAGCTCTCAGAGTCTATAAAACTACAAAGGCAAATAGCTATTTTGTTAGTTTGCTTGTTTCTTTGAACCCAGGAGAGAAATTCTCAGGGCTCTCGAGTTGGAAGCACTCCGGATTCCCCTTTGTATGTGGCATCCCCCCGCTATTCCCCTGCTGCCCTCGCAGCCAGCTGTGCCACTGACTCTGCGGTGCATGCCCGCCCGGAGCAGCGTCACCCAGGAAGCCAGAGAGGCAGCCCTCTTTCACTGACACTGGACAGTTCTTGTGAACAGCAGACTACTAAAGGATCAAGGAAGTGGCCAGCATCATTATAAAGGAATATAGTAAGCAAGTCTGGCTCACTGACAAGCAGACCACATGAATAGAATACATATTTTTAAAAATTATACATACCTTTAAAATGATTATAAACATGTAGCAGTTTAGAAAAGGCGATGTGCTACAGGTCTACTATAACCACAATTGCACGACAATTTACAGATTCAGTAAAAGGCAGGGTGAAACCAACAGGGCAATCGCTCAAACATGACAACCCAAGCAAGGCAGGAGAGACGTGTGACAATACCAAATGGAACTCTCATTTATGCTAGGAGCTGTGATCACCACCAATATCACCCCCAGGAGTTATAAAGCAAAGGTGCACAAGGGTGCCCCTGGTGGCCAGTGGTGGGTGCCGGGCGGGTGGGGGGGTTGGGTGGCACGTCTGTGTTGGTGCCCACTGTCACGGTGCAAGCATCAGCGAGAACTCAAGCAGGGAAGTCTGTGCTGAAATACTAGCCTGTAATCCTAACGCCCATGCATAAGGTTCCATTTTTGTACTGTACATGATAAAAATATATTTATACATTTATATGCCTAATGCTTTTTATGCAAAGAAAAGAGTCTTCATATATCACTTTGGAGAAGTATGTATATGCTGTGCTAATCAGAGCATTGTGACACCAGTTTCGTATGTACCAATGGTGTTCCCAACTGTTCTGTCTACCAAGGAGGGTACAATATAAATCACACTTTCCAGGTTTAACAGAAAGCACCTATACAGCACCATAACTTTTTGAAAACGAAACAAAATGAAATCCATAGAAGCAGAAGTAAAAACAGAAGAAAGGTAAACTGCCTTATCTTGTACTTTCATTGTGTCACTTGTACAATTACAACCTAAGCTTATATATTTTTAAAAAATCAGTTTGCATGTTATTGTCTCTCACTCATACACTTCTAGCAGATCAGATTATACACAGCAAGGCTGAAAATAATCAAGGATGTACATTTAGGAAAACAGTGGAGTTAGAACTGCCTTAGCATTGACTGGGGTCTGTATTCTTCACACATTTCTCACTGCAAGCTTAATGCTCACCTGTAAGCTCCCTCCTGAAAAAGCAAAACAGGACTACTTTTTTTTTTCCTTTTCTTTTCTCCTTAAAACCAAACCCTTCAGTGGCATTTGGCAATGAGTGGATAGCTGTGATTTCTTTCCTGAAAAGATCCTGGGTTCCTAACCAACTGACCAAAGCTGTTCACATTAGCTGAGGACACTGACAGGCGATCGCAGGCCCTACTGATCTGGCCACCGCAGACCAGGTGCTGGGGTCCCATCCACAGACCCCCGGACTCAGCACTGGAGACATGGAGGGCCGGATGCTGCGCTCCACTCGGTTTGCCTATGCATGGCTCAGTCCTGGACGGGTGCACACAGCAAACAACTGTGCCATTGTTCAGTTTTTAGAAAAGGATAATTTTCTACTAAACAAAAGAAGAAAGAAAAATCCCCTCTAGTTTATGTAATGTGTTAGTTTATGGAGTTCCATGGGCTCAAAAGCTTGTGACGCCCGAAGCCGGAATGGTAACTGGTATGTTTGTTTTTAAATTTGCCAGGGGAAGGACGGTTAACATTTTAACAGAAAAATACTGCAAGTTAATGCATATGAAAAACTCAGAAAGTCAAAGGAAAACAAACACAAGAACAACACTTAAAACATCCCATAGACCATTGCAATATTAAAACACCACGGAATCGCTGACGACGGGGGCTCCCGGTGTGCTCTGAGCGAGGGGGCGGTGCTGGCGGGGTGCTGTCCTCCGTTGGCAGGTGCTGCCACCCCGTACAAGGAAGATTTTGCATACTTTATAGAGTTCTGTTCCAAGGGCAAGTGCTTCACCCAGGGCAAGGGGCCATTAACAGTCTCTGCTGGGTTAGGAAAATGGCGCGGGATTCACAAAGGTGTTAAGCTGTAAACGGTATCACTGTCCACTTGCTGAGAGCAGATTTGGCAAAGGGTTTTCTCTGTAGGTCTTGTGTCAGTTTGAGGGTCTAAAAGAGGAGAAAAGAACACCAGATCAGTGAGGGCATTCCCACAGCAGTCAGAGTGGGCACCTGGGGGCCACGCGCCATCGGCCTCTCGCCAACTCGCCCCACCCCAGGGCGCACGCAGCAGAGCAGTCGCCACACCACATCCGAAAGCCTGAAATTCTAAGGACAAAGCATGAAGACTACTTACCCTATTTCTTGTTTTCTCCTTATTACAAAATGCTCTAAAGCTGAAAAGTCCAAAGGAAATGGGGTCATTCACTTTGGCAGGTTAACAAAGAAAGGCAAAATTAGGGTGTTTTTAGCAGGCTCTGTTAAGCTAGGGATGATCAAGGTGCAGAACGGGTTTCGTTCTAGACTTCTGCATTGAGGGGTTTCCCGGGACATGGGGATTTCATGCTAAGGCAAGGAAAGATGGTCATCACCACAAATAGACCAGCTGTGTGTCTCTAGCTGTCCCCCACTGGCTATGTCGACTGACTGAAATTGCTTACTACCCTCCCGCCATAAAAAGAGTAAGTCATTTCTAAGTGAGCCAAATTCTAAGTAGGAATTTGATTTTTTTTTTTTTTTAAAGAGATAAGGTTTCATTATGTTGCCCAGGCTGGATTTGAACTCCTAGGCTCAGCTCAAGAGATCCTCCTGCCTCAGCCTCTCAAGGAGCTAGGACTATAGGTGTATGCTTCTGCGCCTGGCTCAAGAATTTGATTTTTATATTAAAAATTGACAAAGAAGAAAACTATATAACACACACACACACACAACCAAACAAGTTCACCATAAAACACCCCATTGACAGTTAACATATTATTATTTTGCCTCCAACAGTCTTCAATGGAAAGGCACAAAAGAGGTCTCTTAGAGCATATGAATTTATATAAGTCTTACCAGACTTCATGTGACCATTAAATCCAGAAAAGTTAAGAGGATTTAAAAAGATGTAGCTACTAGAGGAACTGACAAGACAGACTTCAAGACATAGGATCTTTTATTTATGGAGACAGTGTTGGTTGTTATGGCAGTAAAAAACAATGGCTCTAGGCCAAGAAATGGATAGAAAGTGGCACTGTAGCAGCACGAACTCATGATCTTCTTTCTTACTAGACCAGGTGACTAAGCAATGAAAAATGCATCAATGAACTCACACACAATAACATGTTACATATATCACCGTCTCCCACCTTTAGAGGAGCTATCATGTTCATTTGGAATTTTCACAAGCATATGACTCCAATCTCTTCTGTGACTCTGCACTTGCTGGCAATCTTACCTGTCACTATCAATCTTTGCAAAGACAACAGGACTTAGTACTAATGATGTTGCATACTCATGCTCATATTTACCCTTGTTACAGCTCCAAACAGAAGAATTTAGACTATTTTATTAGAGGCAGAGACAGTAAAGTAGGAAAAGAAAGCCTATTCTTCTTTCCACCTACCCTTAGCCTTTAGTTTCCCTGGCTGATGGGTTTTGGAGGTATTCTTTGCTTTGTAAAGCTACTAGAGAGTATTACCTTAGACTCTAAAATAATGCATTGATTTCAGAGGGAGAAAAACCTAAAATAAATACCAGATCTCAGTATCAGTGGGGAATTCAGCTTAGATCACCTGCATCCCTGAAGCATGAACAGATATAAGGGCTTCACAGATACAGTCCCCTGGAAAGGGATTCAGTTTTGTTCCTTTACAATAACACTTAATAAAGCACAATCTAACATCACTATGCAATTAGTCATCAGGGGCTACAGTCCCCAAGCCCGATCCTGACTTACTGTAACTGCCAAGGGAAAAGCCGTAAAGTATTACCTAATTCGGGTCCCCTCCCCCGGTTCCCTCTGGTGTTAATTATTCAGGCACGGAAGCCAGTGCATAATGGTAAGGTGACACACCTCATCCCCCAAGTACAGAAGCAGAGCATGCAGCTTGCTCTGACGCTGAGGCTGGGCCAACACAGGAGGAAGGAGACAGAGGGCACCTATGAACCCCCTCACAAGGCATCACTGAGTAGAACAAGCCATCCGCTCTGGGGCAGGAGGTTCACAACAGACGATCTAAAGCAACTACCACCAACAATCCCCAAACCAAATACCCATGCCCTCATCACAACGCCCAGAATCTTCAGGGAACTTCATAATTAAGAAGGAGATACACTAATTATCACTCTTTCCCTTTCTGCAGAGTGGGGCTGGAGCCACCTCTGATGCTATGTCCTGGAGCTTCCTCCGAGGTCCCCCAAGGCAATGCCCTCCCAGGGAGGCCTGCTCAGGAAACTGCCTCCATGCCTACAGGTGGAGCAGGCAGGGGCCCAGGTACAGAGGCAGCTCCTACAGAAGACAAGTTTACTATAGAAACTCCTACTCCACAAAAAAGAAAGGCCTTTGGTTTTCCCTGTGATAGAAGGAAAACAGATTGTAAAATATTGTGAAAACATAAAATTAGTTAAATGTTGAATAGAAATACAATCATCCTTCTAAAAGAAACAATAGAATCACCACGACAAAGACTGGGGTAATAAAAATAATCATAAGATGTCTTAGATTTTTAATGGCTCTTTTGGGGCTCAATGTTTGCACATGTTTATCTGATTCAATAAAGGACAGAAAGAGTAGGGGGGGCACATTAGGTGGTGAAATGGAGCCACTGAGCTGGGAATTCAATGATGCTTAGCTTGGGTTCAAGTTTCATGGGTTTTAAGGAGGCTCATATCATTCTTACGCTGTTTAAAGGATGACGTTTTAGTTAGCTATGTGAGGTTTATGTGTACGTGCCAATGTCCTCCTAGCTTAAAAACACATCAGATTAAGCAAAACTTTTGGAAGGAAAAGGAAGCATATAGCTGATGGAGTTACAGCTGTTACTTTACAGTTTCTAGGCAATTTGCCAATTAACAATAAATACAAAAACGTTGTCCTGTCCCATCAGGGACTTTCATTACTAAGGAGAAGATGCCCTCCCACCCCAATAAGTAAGTTTGAAATCAGTTATTGATGCAAGGAAAAGGAAACGAGGAGACCAAATAAATGATGAGCCCCATTCTAAAAATATCTATGGATGCTGTCATCTGGTCTCTGGTGAGAGTAAATCCCTCTATAATCTTGGCATCTGTAGGGAAGACAAGTTTCTGCCTAATTATCGCCACTAAATCACATGATGTTCTAAGAAAGGGAAATGCCTCCAAAAACCCTACACAAAACATAAGAACCCCAATCAACTTTCATCTGGGAATAAAACATAAATGTTCCTACTGCTGTCCTCCCACAACTTAATTCTACGGTGAAAAATTTTGTAGTGTTTTTATCTTCTTGGCAGAGAAGGAAGGAATAGAACCCCAATACTAAATATGACATGGAAGACAAAAGAGATAATGACATGAAACCCTCACATCCACCAATCCATGAAGATTAGCAACTGTTTTCCTAGCTAGAACTACAAGATGTTTGGAGGAAAGTTTGCCTGAAAAACAAAACAAAACAAAATTAAAGTGAAACGGCACTTTCCTCATTCTTTACAAAGATAATTTGAGCCAAACCTGCAACCCCGGCACACGCTGGGGACTAAATCTGAAACGTTCAGGTTAGAAAAGGAAGGGGTGTTCACACAACCTCACAGGGAAGCCTCACATGGCACTCAGAGAACACGTGTGGGTTTCAGACCTTGAATGTTTCCACTCAAACTTTCAGAGAAACGCCTGCCACCACCTCTGCTTTACTCCAGAAGGGCTGAAGGACACCAACCCATTATCTGCAAGCATCCACCACGGCTTCTGTAGTTGGTGTCACCCCAGGAAAAACAGCATGTCTGGGGTTAAGCAGGCAAAATGGCCGCAGCTCCCTTGGAGTTCAGCGTCACAGGCAAAACCTGTACAGTCCAGGAAACTATGCTAATGGCACAATGCTCTGGCTTAATGTGGTCATTTTTCAACATCTTCTAGGTTGGAAGAGGTGATGAAAAAGAGTGAAGTTCACGGATACTTGTCTGGTGGTCGCTGAGGGCAGGGGCCTGGCCAGTGAGAATCCAGCCCTCTGCCTGTGACGCTGGCCACACAGAGACATCCTTCACGTCCGCCAGAGGGGAACTTAGGAGGTGCAGCTCTGTAAAAGTCCGTCTTGGCAAATGCTGTCCATTGCCTTGCTGCCATTTCAGGCGCCGAGCAGTTCATGAGGGAAACAGAACAGGTACAAACGCTGCGGACAGGCTGGAGGCCAGAGTTGCATTGGGCTGAGGAGCCTCCCCACGGGGAAGTCGGAGTTCTAGGAAACCCAGCTCGTTGGCTGTGGTGCTTCCTAATGGGCAAGCAGACACTTATGGAGAAGGTGAGGATGTTATAGGGAGGTTTAGGAGGAGAAGCCTTTAATGGCAAAGGTGATACAGGATGCTACTAGAAAAGCTATACACACTACTTTGAAGAAAGAAAAAAAAAGCTCAGTTTGTGTGAGGGCTGCTTTGTGCTCCCCCCCCACCCCAAGTAATTCCTGGGCTTGTTCAAGGCAGAAGGTGAAGCCTGTCTATGAAGGCTGGTGACAGGCCCCTCGAGACCTTTGCCACCAGGACTCCTTGGAGCCTGGACCTGACGTGGGCTGCCCCTGCAGCCTGCCTTTGTGCAGTGCTGAAAAATCACAGGGGAGACAGTCCAGGAGCACTTCACAGCTCCATGACAAAGAGCTGGGGGCACCTGCTGGGAGGCACCGCTTTTCTGTTGCTTAAACTTTAGAGATTGTTGATGGCTAAAAGCAGCTTAATTTAAGAATGCCCTATTTGCCTTCACATTGGGGCAGGGATTACGTTAACCAAACATTCTTCAAGTATCCAGAGTTGACTATGGAGACTGACATGGCAAAAATATGATAGGTGCTTACTATCAATAGCAAAGTTGCAAAGATTTCATATTTTCTTAAGATTCTTAGATTTTCAAACCACACAGAATAGTATGTAAAGTTTTGGATTATGTTCTTTTAAAGAACAAATTTTAAGGCAAAAAACCTTTAAGAGGTGTTTGGACCCTCT